CCCCTCCCCATATGGGGTGAGCAGAGAGGCTTCTCAAAAGGGCTGCTCAGTCGCACAGACAGGACTGGATTACACTGCTGCCTAGATCCCAGTGCATAAACAACCATCTTATCTGTGACGCCCATGTGCAGATTGTGACTAAGAGACTCCCAGCAGTCATCTCTGCCTGTCCCCGTCACCACTCATTTGTCGCCATAGGAATTTTGGGGGTATAGGAGTTTTGATGATGATGAGGAGTATGATGAGGAGTATGATGAGCTGGATGATGGCTGCACGTGAGTTGATTTATGTGGTGAGGCAGAACGCAGGCTGCAACCACACATCTTGGCTCTCCCTTTTCCTGATCCAGTGGTGCAAGTGTTGCAACGATTGGGGAGAGGGAGTTGCAATGGACTGCCGATAGCCCAGTTTGTTGGGTTTCGCCTTAGTAGCCTGCCCATCATGCATTGCCTTCATCTGCTGATGTAGTCGTTGGGTTCCCATGGTGGTCACCTCTTCCGCCTATACTGCTATTGGGGTCTTGTTGGAGCTGTTAGCATGTGTGCCTAATGCGGGGCTCCACCGCAGATGTTTTGTTCGATGTTTACTCCAGTAACCTTGTACCTACTAAGGTTAATCCACAAGGCAGCGGGGCAATGGTTGGTAGGCGCCAGGACGTGTCCACTGCCAGTGGGCCTATGCGCCGACCGCCTGGGGCCCACTGCTACTCCGAGATCCCATGCTGGTCTAACTTGGACCCACGTGACACCTAGTTACCGTGTGTTGCCACGAGGAGACACAGCACGAGTCTTGATGGTGAAGAGGCTGTGTACTGGCAGGGGAAGACTTATGCAAGTTGCTTTCCTGTTCGCCACGAGGGCTAGTCAGTGGTGGTAGCTGAAAGTGAGAAGAAGCAAGCAGTGCTTGCACTTTAACACTAACCTTATGCTGCTACACTAGATGCATTACACACACACACACAAAAGACAATTCATGCATAAAGTTTTGTCTCAACTGTCTTCTTTTGAGATGATGGACAGTATACAGCTCCTCCCCGACTTACGACGTACTCGACTTACGACCACCCGCACTTACGACCTGCCTCAGTCGTACCAAAATTTGGTCAAATCACGTATTTTCGAGTCCCAAAGTCAGTATACAGACAAAATTTTTGTTTGTAATTCACTTTAAAATGGCTGGCAAGATTAAAAGTGAGTATTTTGTGGTGCTGAGAAGAAAAAGAGCCACCCATTTTAGATTTTCTGTGTATTATTTAAGCATTTCTGACTTACAACCATTTCGACTTACGACCTGGATGTCGGTCCCTAACCCCGTCGTAAGTCGGGGAGGAGCTGTACTCACTCGCCATTTCATATTTCTCGTGCAGTACAGTCCTCCTCCCCATATCCAGCTTTATACACACTGCCAACTCTTTTTTAATATCTCACCCAGATTATGTTTATTTTGTCCATATGAAATTATTGTTATTGAATCTTCTTCCCAACAACTTTTTATACCTGAATTTTTTTGTAAAATACCGTACAGGTATTCTTGAAATTATTACATATAGCACTGTACATTGTTCATATCTATTGCTTGTAACCCTTGTCATGTTTTACTAAGACAAAAACTGTTACTCTAACTAATTTCTTTTATCAACTTCTTAAAGTTTTGTCTTATGACTCGCACTGCATAAAAGGGTATATAGCGACATAAACTAAACATTGTAGTTTGGACAGCTCAGCTATATCAGCATGTTATGTTTTTTTTATAAAACTTTCAAAATCTATCCTTACCTAACCTCTTGCATCTGACACCCATGAACTAAGTACTGTACTTACTTGAATCTGCTCTGCCAATTCCCGACCTGGAGCTATGACAAGACCAAAGGGCGAGTTAAATGGCAAAGCTGACCCAAATGGTTTCATGCGTTGCCTTATTTGCTGTAGCATGGGAGCGATGAATGCTAATGTCTTTCCATTGCCAGTTTCTGCAGTAATGAGAGTGTTTTTGCCCTCTAAGACATGTGGTATGGCTAAGGTCTGAAAATATAAAACAATTGTACAAGTACTGTAAAATAAAAATCAACATAAATGATACAAATGAGATGAAGTGGAATGTGACTGAATTTACAAAGTGTGATTAAACATGATGGCTTATTAATAGACAAAAATGTGTCTCGGGTGCCATTTACTTCTTGGTGTTTGTAATAGTATTTTACCCTTTGGGATCTACCATTAAATTTCAGGCAGCAACCCAAAACTGATCCATGTATTTAATACAAGTTCTTTTCACTTAAATAAGTTTATTAGGGTCCAGGCATGAGGTGCAGGGAATAAAAGTTTAACCTATATACAGTAGAGTTTACCTAATACCTCAAATAGCAGATACAGTATATACAGAATGACACTAGGAAACTGGAACACATACAGGGTGGCCACAGAGGAAGTACTACTGTACAGTGCTTGAAAATGGTCATGAACATAAAAAGACTGTTAGTGGTCAGTGTTTGGATAGGTAGATAACAAATGTATGCAGTGATACTGAGAAGTGACATGAATGCAAATTTGATGCTTAGAAACTAAGTACTGTACAGTGATCCCTCGGTTAACGAACGCCTCGGTTATCGAAATTTCGGTTAACGAATTACCTTCCATAAGATTCTTCACTTCGGTTAACGAAAAAATTTCGGTTAACGAATTCCTTACGAATTTTTCCCAACATATTTTCGCCTGCTTTTGCCTGCTCACCAGCTGTAGTATTAGTCCACAATGCAGTAATCGGTTTTAGGGCTTAAATTCGTTCCCATTTGAGTAAATATCAAGAAGGTTGTACTATTCAATAATTTTTCAAGTCATATATTACAGTGTTTAGTCATTTTAACAATTATTTAACATAATTGAAGTACAGGGAACTAGTTTTAAGCGCGCCAAACAGCCACTTGACTCACCCAAAATGGCGTCAGTGTATGTCCCTGCTCAGTGGAGGAAGCTTCTTGCTTGAGACTCTCTTGAACATAAACTATTTTTACATTTTTACAGTACAATTATTGGTCATTCTGAAGTTTATTTTACATATTGACAATATATAATGCAGTGCATTGTTGATTTAAAGAAAATAATCTTGAATTACACCAGGTGAACTAAAATTTTATGGGTGAAATGGCAGCATGGGGTGACTTCTCTTCCACCCCAATGCTTTCTCTTCCACCCCAGTGCCTTCTCTTCTCCCTTCTCCTCCACCCCCATTCTAATTCTCATCATCATCATCATCAACCAGGAGCCTTCTACACACCTCAAAGTAAGTGTACTTTACTGCATTTATTTTTAGATTGTATGCAATTTTCGGTGAGCTGGAACCAATTACCCAAAATCCCATTGAAACAATGGTTTCGGTTAACGAAATTTTCTGTTAACGAATGACCTGGAACGAATTGTGTTCGTTATCCGAGGGACCACTGTACAGGTAAAAAGAATTATTGATATGATTGAGATATATGACAGTAGTAACTGTGCTACTGTTTCGTGTGATGCTGCCAAAAACGATGGGTGACACATACTGTAAGAGTGGCAGTGTGCCTAAGTTGAAAACTATACAGTTAAATGCTCATGACATTTTCAAACATCAGGACCAAATAGAACATTTTTCAACAGCCATGGAATAAAGTTTTATCTGAGATCCAATTACTATGAAGCTTGCTTCAGCTAAGGTTGAATTCCAAACCCAAAAAGCTAAGTGATTACTTCCCAAGTTACCATACATACTTGTGTATAGACAAAAAGTTGGGGTCGACCTATAATTACTGTAGTAACATTGTGATGGGATTGAATAAATGTATACTGTACCATACAAGCTTATTTTTTCATGTTCACTAACCCCTGAAATTTATTCAAATAGATATGTAGTACAGTACCGTACCTGTACATTTGTAGGTGTCTGAAATCCTAGTTTATTTAACTGTGACTGTATATCACTGTCAAGACCCAATGATTCAAAGTCAGCTTTGTGCCCTTCTTGGAGATCTCGAAATGCGGGATTCTGAAATACCACATAAAGGTTAAATCAGAATAAATAATTATGGATGATTCTATATAATCTGACAACTGTGAATCCTGACTCCTTGATGGATGAGAGAATCTGCCAGACCACAGGTGCCTTAAGAATAACTCGAAAGGAACCAAATAATAAAGAAGAAAATACAACAGTACAATATTATCAACTCGCCTTAAATGCCACCAAATTTCTGTTTCCCAAGTGATTAATCTTAATGATAATAAAAAAAAAAATTAAACAACTCAAAATTACATCATCATACAGTACAGTACATTAATAAAAAAAATTAGTGTACAGTAAATGAGTTCACCTAAAATTACAATGATGATAAGAGGAGGATGCAGTAACAGTGATGTAATCTCTGCAAACTGTCTGAAAATGTCTTTATATATTATAGTAGTGTTTAGTGAATTGTTGAAGGTTTCATAAAAAAATATGGCAAGATACCCTGTGACCACTCTTCAGAAAGGCAGTTATCCTGGACTCCTGTAAAGCCAGATATTAAAATCTAAATAGAACTAACCTATCTGTTGATGAATGTAGAGCATGTTGCCAATGTATGAAGGGCCCAAATAGTAGACAAACTGGCCAACCCCCAAACTGTTCTTAACAAATGTAAACACTATTACACTTAGCATCATTACAATTAAATAGTGTACAAAGACCTTGGAAAGTGTCATCACTAGTTCATAAAAAACTACAGCAGTAAATCTTGGAACTTCACTTATCATGGCCTCCAACAGGAGAAGAGGGAAAAGTTTCTGACCTGGAGGGTCGTGTGACTAAAACAAAGTAAGTTCATGGAGCACATATACGCTTTTATGTCAGTGAGGACTCCATCCTTAAACCCTAGGCAAACTTTCATATCAAGTGTCTCCTTTAATGGGAAATGCCATGAATGTAAAGAATATTCTAATTTTGAAAAATGTTAAAAATTTTTATTCTAATCAAAAGTTTGGGTCCTCTAGAACCTCGTTTTTTACCTGTAGACTTATTAACGCTACACAGTCACTTGAGACTGGCACTTTGTTGGAAAATGAGTAATGTCTCTGAATTATACAACGGAATACTGTACAGTAGTTGTAATCCTACCCCTCCATAACTGTTGATAGTGAAGTAGTCCCCAACAGATTTTCTATGGCCCCAGCCTTTTGATGCCAGAGGTACTTCTTTAAATTTGTTGTATGATTGACCAAGGTAATGGTTATATTGTTTTCTCCTGCATGATATTATAGGCGTCTGTAAATGAGAAAACGTAATATAGCATTTAATTTAACATTAATGCATTAATAATTTATAATAATAGAGAACTGAATGATGAAAGTTTGAAATTTATATTAGTTTATAAACTGCATTATCATGGTAACATAAATATGTTTAACTTCATCAAACAAAAGACAATAGAGCTACAATTTTAAATATAAATTGGTAAGAGTTCCTATAATAAATTCACAATTAAAAAGTACCTGTATAAGTTTAAGTCAAGAAAAGCCCGAGAAGAATTAATATTAAATTAGCCACAGTACAGTGGTATATTTCACACAATAGTTGTTAAAAGAAATGTCAGTAAAGGTGAAACTTACAGACTGGTCACCTCTCTGAGACCTCTGCACCAGAAGTTCCCTTTCAATTTTTGTTCTTTTTTGCTTTTCTCTTTTTAACTTTTCCGCCAGTGGCACAGGAACACGTATCACAGAAAGCTGACCTTGGGATGATGCCCATCTTGTCTGAAAATGGATATGAGAAAATGAAGTTAAAAAGATGTCACACTCTTACTGACACATGCCGTACATATACAGGTACTGTACTGTACTGTACTATAGTTCTGTACAGTGTATCATTTATCTGGCAAGCTAGGGACTGAAAGTAAATCAGAAAAAAAAAAAAAATTGTAACTAAAAACATGACTATAATTTTTTAATTAAAGAAAACAAGTGAAGCAATTGTTTACATGAAAGTTGTATTTATAAAAAAAAAGGGGGGGGGGTAACTACAGGATGGGGGATTTGATCAAACATCGAAATTTCCCAAATATGTACTTAAATGAAAGTGAAGACCTGTTTAAGGAAATTTTCTAGGAATACTGTATAATCATTTGCTTTAATTTTTCATCATTTCCTGCATTTCTCTCGAGTGATTGTTGATTAGGCACAACTGTATTGTAAGATGTATATAGAATGGCTTTTCTTTTAATTATGCCCTATATGTACAGGAAACCCTTAATTGATGCTTTTATTTTTATTCATTTTTAATTTTGATTACTTGTGGGTAACTTCTCTGTATGCTGATTTAGATATTACAGGGAACAAATTTGACCATTCTAGGGAATCATCTACCAATCAAACTTAACTCTTCTAACCTAACCTAACTTATCTTTTATATTTTATCTGTTTTAATTGTTCATTCTTGATAAAATCAAACATTGTTCCGTGATTGTTTGATGATACGTACCTGTATTCTGGAACACTTGACTCTGACTTACTAGTTGGCAGGACATGTAAATGTTAAAAATGTGGCAGACAACTGACAGTGAACAAGAAATATGTGAGGAATACAGTATATTTAATAGTTGCCAACATCTATTGAGTCTTCTATAGGGAGAAAGAGAAAATACTAAAAATAATTTATTTGATAGCATTTATGTCAGAAATTCATATTTTCAATTACTTTAACAGATAAAATTTTAAACAATATTATTTGTTCAAAGTGAGCAGGGCTTTAAAGTACTGTAGAGTGAAAATGTGGGGTAAAAAAATAAATAGCAAAAATAAAAATTATTTACTTTTGGAAACCTTACCTAACCTTAAAAAATCCTAAAACTATAAAAAGTTTACCTTATTCACGTTTTCGGTGTTAAGTATGTGATGGTGTTTTCGGTGTTCAGATGAGGAGGGATCCATAAATTCTAAAGTGATTCTTAAAATTTTTACAAGTTAGCAAAGGTTTGGTAAGGTTTTCAAAGGTTTATTTGGTGTTGTTCTTTTTAGTATTTACCCCAAATTTTCCCTCGGTCAGTTTAGGATAGTAGCCAAGTTTTGAATTCAGTTATTTATATTGTTTGCAACCACATTACCTAACAAAAATAAGACAAATGTCTTCTATGACACTCTGTGCTGACGAGAAATAACAGAGATATAGCGAGTTAAAAAACCACACCTTCCCCTTGATGAGCTCTGTTCTTGGCAGTAGGTAAACAATGACCCGAGGAGAATGATGCATTATGGGAATCGCGGGACCCGTTTGTAGCTCCCCGCTTTGACCCCGAGAACCCGCAGGCTGGACCATCAGGCTACAGGCCACTCTAACAGCCAGAGAACCCAGATGCGTCACATTTTGACATCGACGCCAGCCTCTAAGGTAAGAACGCGATCAACACTGAGGGGGGTCCAAGGTCAGATTTTTCATGGTTTTTATGGTTAGGTTAGGTCCAGTTATTACCTCATCCCTGTGATGGGGAGGGGGCTTAACTCGAAAACGGGTGGTTAACACCAGAAATGAAGGCAGATTTGTTTGAATCATAACAAAAACCAGGGAAAAAACGTATTTTTTATGGAAAAATCAAAACCTGGCTACTATTATAAATTGACCTTTTCCCTCTACTTCAAAGTGCTGCTTACTTTGAACAACTAATATTGTGGGTAATTTTATCGGTTAAAATCAATTACAAATTTCCGACAGAAATGCTATAGAATAATTTTCTTCTTCTCTTTCTTCCTACATAAAGATTCAATACATAAATAGGTGTTGGCAACTACTAAATATTAACCATATGTGTTTCAGTGCAACAACTGATCGAACTCTTAAAGTATGTCCGAAAAAAGCGTGCGGTAAAATTGAAGTTTCACTATCAATTGGTTTTTGACCCAAAATCTAGGTTTTACCCATGGTATTTGGTGTGATTCATTCGAATTTGACCTTCATTTCCGTCGGAAACGAGTCTTTTTTTAGTTATACCCCCCCCCCTCAATTGCTCTAACCCAATTGGGAGTGAAACTGCAGTAATACCTAAAGTGCTTTCATTAGTATAATTTTAGCTTGGATATCTAACCTAACCTACCCACAGAACCCAGGAACTATATATAACCTTTCCATTGTTAAATTCATAAGATTCTCCGGATGACTGAAATGATTATAATACCAGATTTGATTGGTTAGGTTCTGTGCATTGTTGTTTATATTTCCTTGTTTATTGTCATGCAAATAACATCCCCAGAAATTTGGGTTAGGGTCATCTTGTACCCAAGACAACTCGTACCCAAGATAAGTAGTACTCAAGATAAGTCATACCCAAGATTACTTACACCCAATTCAAGAGATAATCCATACCTATTCGTATGTATACCTTGCATTTTAACTCACTCTCTCTCTCTCTCTCTCTATATATATATATATATATATATATATATATATATATATATATATATATATATATATATATATATATATATATATATGGGTACGAACTGTCTCGTAAATTGGCCTACGAGTTATCTCGTAATTGGGTACGAGTTGACATGTTCTGATGGGTAGGATTTGCTTGGGTACGAATGTCCAGCACCCCAGAAATTTTGGTGCAATTCCATAGTAATTTCTACTGTTAACCGTCTCCCCCACCATTACCTTTCATCCCATCGTTTATTGCTTTACCTGGATATAATTAAAGTACTGTGTAGACCTTGTAGATTGAAGAATAACTCGATATGACTCGGCTGTTAAGGTTGTGGCCATCATGTTGCTCTTCATGTGTTGTGGTTTAGACCTTCACACCCAGCACAGCCTCAACACTCACGACCATATTTCCTTATTGTGGTTTTTAGAAGCTATACATTATATTAGTTACATCATTTTTAATTCATTAATCATATTCCTCTAATCATATTTTGCACTTACAATGACTTAAACAATCAGTTATTCAGAAATAGTAGTTATAATATAAATTGTAATTAAATAAATAAATTTGAGCTTCATATTATTTATCTGTGGCTATCTTTCTTAATGTATGAATGTCTATATATATATATATATATATATATATATATATATATATATATATATATATATATATATATATATATATATATATATATATATATATATATATATATATATATATATATATATATATATATATATATATATATATATATATATATATATATATATATATATATATATATATATATATATATATATATATATATATATATATATATATATATATATATATATATATTTAAAAAAATATAAAATTTCATATATTATGGATAATTTCTACTCAATATGAATTATAACTAACATCCAAGTTTTTATTTATGTAGATACCCAAAAATTTCGTCTTTTACTTTTTACTTTCATCCTCTATTCTTCTTCGCCAATGATGGTTTGTTAGCCGCTTGGGCGGTCGGTAACGTCTCTGTTACGTACTGCTGGCAAGTACTGTACTGGGCATTCGCTGATCCCTGAATGTATCTGAACCTGCTCCAGTGTTGGTCAAATTTGGTCTTAAAACAGTTCACACTCGGTGCCGTCACAACACACTCTGGCAGGTTGTTCCAAGAGTTCACAATTCTCACTTCGAAAAAGTTTGCCCTCATAATTTTCTGGACTTGTGGCTTCTTCAACCTTGAGCTGTGACCCTGTAGTGGATTTCCTCCCTACAAACGCTGTTTGTCGCTGAGTAGCCGACCCCCGAATTCCCCAGTGTATGCCTCGTGGTTAGTCAACCAGCGCCGCCTTACATGACGGAGGTCAACTACTAAGCCACGCCTACCTCTGCTATTTAAGACCTGACCTCGTGGTGACCGCTCTCTTTCTACCTACACCTACCAGCAAACAACAACACCTCCTCCTCCTCCGCCGCTGCCTGGCGGCCCTGCCCCCTGCTGGAGCATGGCGACCCACAAGCTGTCCTCCTCTGAGCACCCTCACCAACCAGCTCTCTCTACATCACGCTTGTAACCATGCTGCCTTCCCAGCACCAAGCTGCATTGTACATCCAATACAACATGTATACAGAGAGCACATTGTGAGTTTCCTTTCTCCATCCCATCCTGAGTCTCGAACCAAACAACCCGTACCCCACAACCCCCCAGCGGGCGTCCGCCAGCTCCAGGTATAGACACTCGACCGAGTAGTGCCCTTTGAGATGTTTATACACCTCAATTAGGTCGCCCCTTGCCCGTCTGTAATATTTAGTTTTATCCTCTTCACCACTGATCGGCTCGTTAGCCACTTGGGCGATCGGTCACGTCTCTGTTACGCACTGTTGGCAAGTACTGGGCATGCACCAGCTCCTGAATGTACCTGAACCTGCTCCAGTGTTGGCCAAGTCTGTCTTGAAAGAGCTCACACTTCTGTCACAACACTTTCTGGTAGATTATTCCAAGAGTTCACAACTCTACCCGAAAAAGTTTGCCCTCACAGTTTCCTGGACTTGCGGCTTCTTCAATCTTGAGCTGTGACCCCTTGTGGGGCGAGCATCCGCCAGCTCCAAGTGAGGACACTCGACTGAGTAATGCCCGTTGAGATGCTTATACACCTCAATTAGGTCGCCCCTTACCTGTCTGTAGTATAAGCTAGGCAAGTTCAGGCGCTCCAGTCTCTCAGGGTAGTTGAGGTGCCGAAGTGCAGGCACCAGTCTGGTGGCCCTCCTTTGAAAATTTTTAACCAACTGACAGTCCCAAGCAAGACTCGGGAACCAGACGGGGTAACAGTACTCCAGATGGGGAAGCACTTCATTCTTGAAGATCGTTACGAGGGACGGACCGTCTAGATATCTGAACGACCTTCTTATAAGACCCAAAAATTTATTTGCCTGATTTACCTTCTTCTCGCAATGGCCCGAGAACTTCAGCTCATGTCAACATACACACCTAGGTCCTTCTCACATTCAGTCTCAAATAGTGCAGTTTCTTCATCCCGTTGGGACATATAATACGCCTCCTTACCGTTGGTACGCCCCAGGTGCATCCTCTTACACTTCGTGACATTGAATCTCAGCAGCCATTTCTTCGACCACACTTGGAGCTCACTGAGATCCTTCTGCAGCTCTTCACAGTCCGCTTGGTTCTTGATTTTCCGAAATGACTTGGCGTCATCGGCAAACATTTGTATGGAGGAGTGTACAACGTCAGGCATGTCATTTATGAAACAAACAAACAACAGTGGGCGCAATACACTGCCTTGTGGTATCCCGCTTGTGACAGGTACTGTAACGGTGGCAGTTTCTCTCTCTTACTCTCTGCCCTTCTCTTATCTTAATTCTTTAATTCAATTTTTCTTTCTACTTACTTCAATGGTTACTGCATAACGGAAAGAAAGGTAAACTACTGTGGGGAAAATGAATACTCCTAAAATACTCTAAGAACAGGTTTATTAATATGAAATCAAGGGAAAAAGAGATATTAACATATAACTAGTGCAACTCCTCGCTTACTCAACTGCAAACTCAGTAATTTCTTATTTTTACTCAACAGCAATTTACTCAAATACTATACTCTTACTGCGCTAACTTTACTGGTGTTACATCACAATACATAGTTACATGACAACTCTTGGCTTTACTTAACTGCCACTCCAAGTGGGTACGTTTACTTCACCCACAACTTCTAGTGGTACATTTCATTACAGTTACCAGGCTTTATTCATAGTCCCAAGTGGACAACTTTACTTTTCCCGCATTACGAGGTACTTTCCATTACATCCAGTTATAAGACAACCTTGCATATGATACTTTACAGACTGTTGGTAGTGCATATGAGATGCACTCACAACATACACGTTAATACTGATACCAGCAAATACATGGGTCCACTACCGAACATGGGATAATTATTTCCAATTAATTATCCCCAAGCATATACATCAAACACTGTGGGCCATAACTTCCAGGGAGCATCCCAGGGGAGGACACTGGGGCTCACAACCGTACTCTGCGATTGGTGGTAGAACCAGCATGCAGTCTGGGGTCTAGCTCACGAGGCGGACCTGCCGTCTCAATCATGTTGAATCACCGACATCAATGCATACATTGATCCCTGCTGGTTATCCACCGGCTCAGCAGCCGATGGGGTATTCAGAGGACACCCTAGAATCTGTAGGACAACGAAGTTGACGTGAGGAGAGAGGGAAGCATGATGACAACACCATCACAACAAATCTCTCGTCTGGCAAAGGCAGACGACATTTAGATATATTACTTCTTACACTGGGTGAATAGGGTGTGTCATACTGAGGCGTTTTTTTGGGTTTGAAAAATCGGCCCATGGTATTAATGATGTAGTTCTATGTGCAGAATCATGTGATATCTTCAGATTTGAAAAGTTTTCATTTTTGCTCAGTAAATTTTAACTTGAAATCTTATGAAAATTCAGTATTCCCAACCTTTTACCAACACCACTAAATAGCTTATTTAAAGTAAAGTAAATGTATCAGGTTAATTTATTAGGATGAAAATGATCCAGAATAGTGAAACGAATGATCTTGACACATTTATTAAATTTAATATTCCTTTAGAAAACAAAATCATCAAATACAAAAACCGGTTTTACTACTACGACCCGGTGTTGCTGCACACCATAGAGAACATGTCTTTTCTTCTGCTTTCTACTCATCACCTCCTGCTGACCACCTGAGCTCGGATGTAGCCTTCCCTCCTCTCCTGGCTGTACACACGTGACTGCTGGCCTCGCTCACTTGCTGTACACAACGCTCTACTCTCTGGGTGTGCGAGGCCAGGCAGGGACATGCATGGGGTTGTCCAGGCTCTGACTTGAACATTGGTGAGGCTGCAGGTAGGGGGCTCACTGCCAGCTGGATGTTATCCAGATCTATGAGATCAGTGAGGGTCTTGGCACCTAGATTGACTTCAGGAGTCTTCCTGACCCTGAAGGAATCGTCACCAACTGATTCGTCATGCCCAGATCCTCTCATAAGTCTCATATCCAAGATCTTTTGACTGCCACTCTTCTCTCCTCCTCATCCTTACTGCAGAGCATTGTCTGCAGAACTGCCTCGGGATGAGCATACCAGGAAGATCTCCTCACAGTCTGCTCCACAATCTGAACAACCTTCCTTGGCTGACTCCTCAGGAGCTCAAGCTGGAAGAGAACATGCCTCGGACCTTCGGAGAACGATGACTTGACCTTGGTGTTGAACCAATTTGGCATAGACCCTCACAATGATTGGACAATAAGTCTCAGGTTGTGAAGCTGGTTCCCTTTCAGTTTATGATGAGCGACCCAAATTCTGCAGAACCTGAGAGCCGTTGTGAGCCACCTAGAATGTGAGACTGGACCTATCTGCAGGTAAGCAAGTCTATCAGGCATGACCCCAGTTTGATGGCACTGCAAATCATGTAACCATAGTACTGGTCAGTACTCAGGTCGTCAATGACAGTATGTGCAAGCTCAACGAGTGGAGGCCAACTGTGATTTTTTCAAAGCTTGGATTTATTTCTAACTCAGTGGCAGAGTCCAGCATCTTGCCAAGAGGACCAGACCATCTGTTGTTTGAAAGAGTCTTGCCATCCAGCTCCTGGATCAGATGTCTGAGTGGCAACTCGTTGGTGTGGAGGTCACAAACAATCCAGACCAGCTTCCTCCCAATCTTCCGCTCTATCCTGTATGACCCCCCCTTGCCACCCTGTGTTCGTGTTGGTGCTGTCCCTCAATGGCCTGCAGGGTCTGGTCTACGTTCCTCTCTCTGAGCCAGTTCACAATGTTATCTGCCACTATCTCAGCTGGTTTCCTGATGTCATCTTTCTCTGGAGTGAAATGCCACAAATACTTCCCTCCTGGTTCACTGCAGCAGGAGTAGTGTTCCTCCTTCACCATGGCAGGGAACAACTTGTCCAGAATCTCCAACTTTCATGAACACTTTAGTGTCATCCCTTCTCCCAAAAGAGCAAACAATTGATTCCATTTTCTCTTATCTTATCAAACTCCTCTAGGTTACTGACA